CCACACTTTTCAAAATCCTAGATCTGCCTTTGGTTGAGCAAATATGGTAGATGCTCTTTCTTAATCTGGGATTCTCAGTGAAGGACTAAAGTCTATGAGACCAGAAGGAGAAACAGATTGGGGAAAATCCTCAAATCAGTGAGGTTATAAAAGTTTGTGCCACTGATGAGTTCTGGAGAGGTGATGAATGAATAGGCTATAACTGGCAAGACAATGGCTGCCAAAATTGGGTGGATGATACATAACTTGTACTGACTTCTAGAATAAGGAAGCCCCAACCCACACAGACAACTAAACAGTATTTACAACAAAATAACATCCACAAAGGCTAAAGATTAAAAAATCAAAACAGGTCTGTTTTGGTTGGCTATGGGTCCATGACTAAAACCTTTTCATTAGCAAAAATCTCAGTAAAATCTGAGAAAAAGCAGAGGTACACAAAGTATCGTATGAATGTAGAAATAAAAGTTGGGAAACAAAGTACAGTGGAAACCCAGAAATGAATGACTGCACTTAACATGACAGCTGAGAGATCAAAGGAAACAGATAAGAGAGCCCTCTGAGCTCTGCACTGTTATGTCATCCTGTCACTAAAAATGCCCAATACTTCGAAGTCAGCACTGAGGTCAGCATAACATTTCAGTAGGCTAAGAAGACTGGCCTGCCTCTCCAGATAGGACTAAGTAGGTCAGCAGATGAGAGGCAAGTGGCTGAGATCACAGTCTGATGGCCATAGAGATACACAAAGGAAAGCCAGTAGGAGGCAGGAGAAAGAAAACAACAGAAAGAAGAGATATAAAGGTACCCTGGAATAAAAAGGAAAGGAACAGATAATCTCTTTTTCTACATGTCGCTGGGTAGGTGGGCAGGGTTTGGAGGACGATAGTAGGACTAGCTAAGAGAAACATCTAAATTAGTATGGCTAAGATGTGTGCAATGTTTTTGTGAGACTCTAGGAGTTTAACTGAGAAACACCAGTTTGAGCAGTGCAGAGGGAGGAAGAGATCCAGAGGTTCAGAAGTAGTGATTTCCTATACAGATATGCTGAGGACTCTAGTCATGTAGTATAAGTCTCTATAACCCATCACTCCAGACAGTTTCACCACTCCTCCTGAAACCAAAATTAAGCTAGCAGGCCACACCCTTTGTTGGTTATGGAAGTAGAGCTATCCTCTCGGCTGGCCCTTCACCCCCACCCCACTCAAGTCACCACTTTACTGATTTTCCGAAAATCAGAAAAAGGGAAACACATGATTTTCACTTAAATGAGCTGTTGTCATTTCTCTAATTTTTACCAGGAAAAAATGGTGGGGTATGAGACAGACAGCTTGGCCAATGAGTGTGTGAGGGGGCCAGCTGAAGTGGATAAGGGAGACTAAGCAGTAAAGAGGATAAGAGAAACTTGCTGGAGTGAAAGGATCACTGACTGAAATCCCAAACTCATTGCTTCACTCATTGCTTAAGTGACCAAACAGTGACTTTGTTAGAAGTCAGGTTTTTCCAGTATTCATTAAAATCAAAAGATGGAGTTTTAGATCGGATATATTTTTTAAAAGTTGTGTTAGGTACAGACAAATAGACACAGGCTGTCAAGTGCAATGTTAAGGCTCTGTTTTGCTCAGCCAGTTCAATCACCTGCTGTGCTAGAGACCTACATTATAAGATAGGGGCCGTGCAGGAGCATAGGAGATGAACTTTGGCTGCCAGAGCTCTGGCAAGAATTGGCATTCTGGCAGAGGCAGTGGCAGCAGCTCTACTGGGGTAGTGGGGGTGAGAAAAGCAGTTCTCTTTGCCCCTGCAAGAAGTAAGGAGCCACTTCTGACAGCTGCTGCTTTTCAACAGCTGCCAGTTGATCATTAACAACCTACCTTCTCCCCCAGGAGGGGAGAGGGCAGGCTGTCAGCTAATGTTTTGCCCTGGAGCCTGGGAGATCTAATGACCAGCCCCTATTGCCCCTTACTGGAGAGGTCCCCTTTGAGGCAAATTTGTATTTCTCCAGTCAGGGGTTTGGAAAACCTGTTCACTCCTATAGTGCTATCTTTATAGCAGTACAAAGTGCCTCAGCGCTTTGTAGTGTTACAAATGAGCAGCTGTCCATAACCTAGGGGTATTTCATCTTAATGCATTGAAAGAAGGGAAATAATTCCAAAAGAACTCCTTCTCCAAGAAGCAAATCTATCGCATAAATGCTTCTGTGCTTAATCCTACCCTGAGATATTTACCCAGCCACTTTGTAGAGAAGAAACTTAGAGAAATGTGACTTAATGCCCTCTTTTGGGGAGGGTTCTTTGGGAAATTCAAGATGTGCAATGGCAGAAGGGTTAAGGAATCTTGCTACAGTTTCAAAGGCATGAGTACAAGACTTATTCTAGACCTGTGCTGAAGGCTGTCCCTGGTGAATGAGTACTTGGTCAATAAGGCTGTGGAGTCAAAGGCAGCCAAATGTAGTGCTAGCCAAGTAACTCCTCAGCATGTTTTTTGGCTTTAGAAATGGCTATGCCTTAATCACAGTAGTACAATGGAGTGCTTGGGCAGGCTTTGACTACATTTGACAAATGAAATGGACTTATCCAGGTGTCACTTTTTGATATAATGGTGATTTGTCCCTCTCCTGAGATGATGTCTGATAATGTAAGATACTGGGTATGATTCTATAAGCAACATCAGTTTCCACGAAAAAATTAATTGCTTACAAATAACTTAAAATGAGTCTTTATTTTAAGGTATACACACAAGGATCAGCGTGAAATCTGAACTTTGCTTCTCAGTTCTGAATTTATGGATGTATGACTGCGTGGTTCTTTTTTTTAATTTCCTTTTTGCATTAGCAGTAGCATTATGTGTGGAATAAAAAATAAACTGTATGTAGTACTGCCAGCTTCCCTTCTTCAAAATTCACAAGTCAGGACCCCACCCCAAATTTGAGAACTGATTTAAAAATCATGAAACTTAAAAAAAATCAGTTTGTATTCATTTACCTTCTAAATTTTGAGAAGATCAATCTGAATACAGTGCACCTCTGCCCCCAGCTTTCTCAGCTGTTGGAGTTCCCAAGAGAGCTCTAGGTTGAAACTGAGATCCCAGGAACAATAGGCATTTCAAAGTCCCTACAAGGAAAACTGGAAGTTTCACCTGATCAGCTCAGCCAGGTTAATCAGAGAGAGAGAAGAAAGAAAGGGATCTGGGGAAGCTGGGGCCCTTTCATTTCTAGGATGCCACATGGTAAGTAGAAGCCAGGACCAATCTGCTTTGGATTCTTGATGGTGTACAAAGGAAAACACTGCCAGATTCCACTAAAACTCTGATACTTCAGAGCATGTGGAGGCCTGTATCTGAAGTGGTCAGTGATCATGAGCAACTAATTCACAAAAGGTAGGTACCTGAGAGAGCAATTGCATCTCCTGGATTCTTCAGATCTGATATATACTGGTCATGGATAGATGATGCAAGAAAGTCAGGAACCTTTTGTACATCTGTTAACCAGTTCCAAAGTCTCAATGGGGTAGTTCAAAAATCCATGCCATCTTCACTGTCCCATGGGGTAAATATGGATATAAGTAACATTTTTTTAATTGTTTTAAAAATGTTTAAGGGGTAATAAGTCAGGCCATTAGAAATACTGCATGCTAAACAGTATTTTTGGTTTCATTGTTTACATTTCTTGTATGACTGTTTTAGTTAAAAAAAAATAAAAACATTTGACAAAAACCACAGTAAGAGGGAGATACAATATATATACCCTTAATTTAAGGTAAAACAGCATTATTGGGATATTACAGTTGTCCTTAAAACAAAGGATTATAAAGTCATGGAATTGAGATTTCAAATTAAAATTAAATGAAATCAAACATATTAAAATATGAAGATACATAATTAAGGCACACAAACAGCTTTCTACCTTGTCTGATACAAGAAACATACCTTATTTTTTTAAGCATCAGTTTAGTCTAATCTCAGCTAAAATACCCTCTTAATAATCAAGGTTTATATTACAGTATATTACATTACATTATAGTGTTTTACATCCACTATGGGATTCTGCCAAGGAACAATAACTTGAAAGTCCATTGAGGACTCTGTAGGTGACCCATTAGTAGAAACTTTCCAAATACATCTGACTCAAGTGTATACTGTCTAAGCAGCATCACCCATAGTGATCTGTGTAGCTAGTGACAAACCTCCTGATGGGCTATGAATGATGAGATCTTTAAATTCTGCAACACCTACCCCAGTGCAGACTTTCAACTATGAGGTGCACTGTGAAATCTGCCATCACTTAGTACTGTAGCAAGTTCATTACACGTTTCTGAAATTCACCGTTCCAAAATTACTACAGTTTCCACTATAACTTGACAGAGATAAACTTTACCTTTTATATAATTGTAACTATAGTATTAGCACTATTAGGGTAAATCTAGGCTAGAGATTTCAGATTTCCTGTAATGCAAATTAACTGATTGCCAATTAAGGCTACAGGGCTATAATGACTAGGGGACATCTGTACTGGTCTGGGTTCCTCTCTGCTCTCCCTGAGCTAAACTTGTATGGGTTCAAGTTATCACATGCAGGGTAATACTATGAGAAGATTAAGAGTGTGTACAAGTGTTCAAATGAACCATGAAGTCTTGCAATTTTGTTCTCCCAATAGAAAAACTTACATGGAGAGCATTATACAAATGCTGTAGGGACCAGCCAGGTAAGTGCTCTGCAGAGAGCCTTCACTGCTGATGGCCCCCAGCTAAGGCCACACCCTGGAGAACTCGAGTTCACAGTCCCCCCTCCCTCCCTTCAGGCAGTGAGTCTTTGAAAGGAGACCCAGAGTGTATCTCCTCTTCTTAGTTGCAGGCATGTCTTTTCTATTCCAGCACCCTACCAAAGAATAGCAATGGTGTTGGGGGTCTAGGTCTCAGAGGTCTGAGTCTCAGGAGTGTAGAGGTACAAGTCTGGAAGTCAGGATCTTCCAGATCTAGGTCTTTGCAGGGGGCACAGCAGTCTCAGCACCCTGTTTCTCCTTGTAGCCCTCTATCACAGTGCAGGCCTGGTGAAAGGAGCTGGGCTTTCCTCGCCCCAAGGTAGTCAGGGGAAGGAGTTTGCTTCATGCTCAGCTAGGGTGGCCATCATAGAGGACAGTCCAGTTGTCCTCTGTCCTCTATTGATATAAAACCTGATGCCTTTATGTCCTCAAAAGAAAAATAGAGGATGTAAAGGTGTTGGGTTTCATATCAATAGGGGAAACAGGACAGAGTAGCAGAAAACCTGAATGTCTTCTATGATGGCCACCCTAGCTCAGCTAGAGCAGCAGAGTCCAGCCCAAGACAAACAGTCTCCCTGAAGGAAGTATGAAAAAGGGATTGGGGGAAGGGAGACTGGAGCAATACCCTCTGGGATGCTGAAAGACATTGCTGCAGCTTCTATTGGAAACGTAAATCTATATTCATTGGTTCTTCTGGGAGAAACTCGTCCAGAAGTCACTTCTAACTGGTTTTAGTTGGGTTAGTTTTCTGCTGTTATTTGTCTGCTATTTTTGGTCTAGGAGAAACCATATGAACTTTTCTACACTTTTGCCTGTGCACTCTGTTTTTGTAAAACTGAACTGGTTCTTTGTTATAAGCAACGTTTTTACAGATATGCTGCAATTGTGTATATTACTCCAAACATATGTACACAGAATGACTTTCTGGTGCCTTCCCAGGCATCTGTGACCTGTCTTTTTTCTCTAGCTACCATGTTGTTTATTACAGCCTTGGCTCAGTACCCAGACCATTCTTTTTGTATCACTTCTATGAGAATTGAATGACTCAACTACTTAGGTGGCTTGAAAGCCATTCATTGTCCCTACATCGCCTGTCCACCTAATTCCTACTTTAGAATATTCTCTCCTTCCAACAAAAGATGAGCTGGCAGCATGAAGTAACGGGTAGGATTTATTCCTAGTTCTTGAACCAGCTAGATACCTGGGGTCCCTTTTATCTGCCTACCTTATAGCTTGTAGAAGGGGTGGTTTTCTTTTTTCACTTCTCTTACCTAAGGAGCAATTGCTTCACGTAAATTAACTAACAACTTTGTAAATGTTAACCTGAATACTAACCTCTGCTCCATGATGCAAATGTTTGTAGTTTACACCAAGGTACAGGGAACATCACATTATAACTGAAAAATTACAAATGCTATGGTTAGGTATTTTAATGACAATCAGTCTTTCAAGTATGCATAAAACATACATGTTAAAAAAGTAAAATAGGCATTAATCAATTTATTAGCCACCACCTATTTGTACTGTGGCATGTAAAATATAATGTTCCATTCCTACCAACATGCTATGATTTCCTGGAGACCACACAGAGGTGAGGTGACTGGATCAATTAAAATTCAGATAATTGTGCGAGACAAGCCAGGTACCAGAGGACCAGAAAAGGGCCAATGTATTGCCCCTCTTTAAAAAAGGCAAGGAAGACCCTGGGAACTACAGACCAGTTCACCTCACCTCAATACCTGGGAAGTAGGGCTGTGCAAAGCTTTGGTCCCCGATCTGATTTGGTGGAGATTCGGTCTGATTCAGTGGCCAAACCTCTGAATCCAAATCAAATCAGGAGACCCTTTAATCTCTCTGAATTGAATCGGAAACCTCTGAATCAATTAGGAGAGCTTCAGAAAGATTTGGCAATTCAGACATAGACACAGCTTTAAATGTTTTTTCTACATACTTCAAGATACCAGGCAGCTTGTGAATGCTGTGATGCCAGGGCAGATGGAGCATCCCACAGGAGCGTGGAGGGCTCCCCAGTGCACTCAGCAGCAGACCTGCAAGTGGACCTGGAAGTGGTCCACTTCTGAGTCCACCAGGGAGTGCCCTGCCCTCCCCCCACCCTGTGCCTCCCTGGCTCGGTGACTGGTACCTCCTGGGTCTGGGGAGAGGTCAGCCGGGTTCCCCATGGCCAATCGCCGAGCTGGGGGGACTGCAGGGGCAGTACACTTCCTGGTGCACCTGGAAGTGGACTGGAAGCACTTCCGACCCACTTCTGGGTTCACTGCCAAGCATGCAGGGGGGTCCCCCACACTCCTGTATGATGCTCCATCTGCCCCAGCATTGTAGCATTCATGAGCCATGCATGGTACCTTGAGGTATGTAGAAAAAACATTTAAAGCTGTGTCTATGGCTGAATCACTGATTCTCTGAATCAGCATTGAATCTTCAGATTCAGCCAAACCAAATCAGGTACAGGGTTCCAAATCAACTAATAGAAGCACTGTCCTTGATTCAGGCCGAATCTGAATCAAATATGGCCCATTTTGCACACCCCTAGTGGGAAGTTACTGGACTGTATCTTAAGAAAGGTAATTTGCATGCATCTGGAGGAGGAAGGTCTGATCTCAAGCAGCCAGCATGGATTTATGAAAAACAAATCATGTCAAACAAACCTACTCTCCTTCCTTGACAAAGTAACTACATGGGTGGGTGAAGGGAATGCTGTAGATATAATGTATCTGGACTCCAGCAAGGTTTTTGAAAATGTCCTGCATGACATTCTCATATACAAATTTGAGAAATGTGAGGTGTGCAAAACTATGGTAAGGTGGATAGACAGCTGGCTCAACAACCACAAGCAAAGGGTAATTATTAAATGGGTCCTTGTCAAAATGGCAGAAGGTTTGAACTGGAGTCCCACAGAGGTCTGTCCTGGACCTGGTGCTGTTCAATGTGTTTATTACTAATTTAGATGCTGGCATAGAAAGCTTCTTGATCAAGTTCGCAGACAACATTAAACTTGGAAGGATTGTGCACATAGAGGATGTGAGTATAGTTCTGAAAGATCTCAATAGATTGGAAAGCTGGGCTAAAGACAACAGGATGAAGACAAATGCAAGGTGCTATACCTTTAGAGGAATAATCAAAATCACAAATATAAAATGGGGTTACACCTGGCAGAGAATAGATTCAGGCTAGATATCAGCAGGCACTACTTCACTGTCAGGGCGGCCAGGATCTGGAACCTACTTCCAAGAGAAGTGGAGCTGGCTCCTACCCTAGGGGTCTTTAAAAGGAGGCTGGATGAACACCTTGCCAGTGTTGTTTGATCGCAGTACTCTTTCCTGCCATGGCAGGGTGTTGGACTTGATGATCTGCTCAGGTCCCTTCCGACCCTACCAACTATGAAACTGGCTGAAGGGTAGCACTCTGGAATAGGATTTGGGAGTCTTGGTAGACCACAAAACTCAAGATGAGTCTGCAGTATGATGTAGCCACTCAGAAGGTGAATGCGGTTTTGGGATGCATCAACAGAAGCATTAGGTCATGCAAGGCGCAGAAGGTGATAGTGCCCCTCTACTCAGCACAGGATGAACTGCATCTGAAGTACTGTGTCAGCTCAGGG